TGGTTTGGAGTTATATGTATTTATATGGGATAAACATGAATAGTCAGGGTTCAAAATCAATAAATGTAATACACTATATTAACAGAGCCAAGGACAAAAACCATATGATCATCTCAATAGATGCAGAAAAAGCATTTAACAAAATCCAACACCCATTCATGATAAAAACCTTACAGAAAATTGGAATAGAAGCTCTTTATCTCAACCAGATTAAGGCTATCTATGAAAAAGCCAACAGCCAACATTATACTAAATGGTCAAAAACTGAAAACTTTCGTGCTAAAATCAAGAACAAGGCAAGGATGCCCACTATCACTACTCCTGCTCAATGTAGTTCTGGAAATATTAGCCACAGCAATTAGAAAAAAGAAAGGAAGAAAATGAATGAAGATAGGAAAGGAAGAAGTTAAACTGTCATTATTCCCTGATGATATGATACTTTACATAGAAGACCCAAAAAACTCTGCCAAAAGACTTCTAGACTTAATTGACAGATTCAGTAGAGTAGCTGGATATAAGGTTAACACTCAAAAAACAATAGCCTTCTTATACACAAATGGCAGACTCACTGAGAGAGAAATTCAGGAAAAAATGCCTTTTACAATAGCATCCAAAAATATGAAACATCTGGGAATGAACAAAGGAAGCAAAATAGACTAAAGTAGGCTGAAAAATAAATTGCAAGTATACAATTTCCTAAACACTGAAACATTAATGTCAACTTACATCAAAGAAGAGAAATTTGTAAATTTGATTAAAATTCTGAGTTAGATGAACCTGGATTATTCAGGCGGGTCCTAAGTATTATCACAACTTTGCTTGTAAGGAGGCAGTAAAGGAAGATTTGGCTACAGAAAAGAAGGGAATGTAACAAAAAAGAAGTGAATGGAGTGATACAATCACAAAGCCATGAAATTTTGGTAGCCACCAGAAGCTTGAAGAGTCAGTGAACAGCTTCTTCTCTGATAAATACCAACACCTATTTGTACCTCAAAATTGTCTCTTTTGGACTTTTGTCTTCTAAAACTATAATAGCATATTTATCTGATTATAATTGAAGGACCCTAGTTAGCAAGACAGACTCCATATTGCTGCTTGACCCACCTGTCTGTCCTTTAGATGAACTCAGAAGGAGGAAGCTTAGAAACCTCCTCCCCTTAAAAGGTCCCTTTAGAAATAACAATTAATCAACTATTGTTTTACAAATGTTCTAACAACAGGACGTTCTGCTTCTATACCTTTTGCTTGCTTTACTAGTTCTATCCCATGGAGGGGGCCTAGAAACTGTTGTCCTCAAAGGTGTATAAAACATGTTTGTCTCCCCCGAGTCAGGGGGCTTGAGTCCCATGCTCAGCTCAGGTCCTAGCCAGTAATAAACTCCTGTGTAGATTTAATATCAGTCTCTGGTTGGTTCTTTCTCACTGGGTCTAACAATAATCACTTAGTTTATAGTTATATGTTACTAAGGCAATAAGAAAATAATATACAAGGTAACAAAATGATATAATGATTTATCATAATGATATAATCATAGAGTATTAGTTACTTTAGCATTATTGGGACAAAATACATGACTCAGGCAACTTATAGAGAGAAATTTATTTTGGTTTATTGTTTTAGAGTGCTTAGTGTACACATAATTGGCTAGCTTGATGGCAGAAATAGCATGATGGAAAGGATTGGGAGAAGAAAATAGATCAGCCCACTGCAGCCATGGCAGTGGGAGGAGCTGGAGACAAGACTGTGCCTTCCAGGCAACACCACCAATCACTCATCCTTTCCAAAAAGGACCCACCTCTTAACAACAAATCTAGCAATGAATATAGGAATGGATTACTTCATGGAAGGATATAACACTCTGTGATCCAATTCAATTTCAAAATTCCCACCTCTGAACACAAATTTTTAGGAAAAGAAGCAACAAAAATGACATCAAAGATATGCTGGTATGTGTGTGTGTGTGTGTGTGTGTAGTTAGGAAGCTAATCAGAGTTTTGCTGCATAAAGATGACAAAATGCTGGGATGGGGGAAAAGGGTTAAGGTATTTTTTTAACAACAGGAATAAGTACTCTGATAATAGTAATGATCCCATAATGATATAAGAAAAAATTGATAATAGAAGAATGGGAATTACTTATAATGGCTAGGTCCTTAAGCAGTGAAAAAAAAATGGTCAGCACTGTATCCTTACAAAAGATGTATTCAAGTTCTTACATCATTGAATGTGGCCTTATTTGGAAGTAGAGTCTTTAAATCTTTAAAAATGTAATCAATTTAAAATGAGGTCATACTGGCCTTATGTTGTTTCTTAATCCAATTAGTGTTGCTTTATAAGGAAAGGGAAATTTGAATACAGACACAGACTAAGAGAGAATGAGGCAGAGATTGGAATGATGAATCCATAAGCCAAATTATAAGAATTGCAAGAAACTGCCAGAAGATATGATTGAGAGGCATATAGCATATACTTCTCTGAGACTCCAGAGGAAAGCAATCCTGTTGACAACTTAATTTTGGAGTTCTATTCTCTGTAACTATTTAATAATAAACCTACAGTTTTTCAAGCCACCCAGTTTGTCATGGTAGTTGATGGAACTAATGTGCCCAACTACAAGAATTGAGCTACGATACCCAAAAGAAGAGGACACGTCTTCCAAAGGGACAAAGGGAGGCGTGCCATAGGGGTAAATACACACCTAGCCTAGTGTATTCACTTGTGAGAATACTCATTTTTTCATATTTGTTTTTCTTAGGTGACAATGGGAAAAAATAGAAAATATTTTGGATTTGAGGACAGCGGAAAAAGCATGAATCCTCATGTTTGATAATAAAAGAATATTAAACAGACTGGATAAACGTAATACTATTTCCATGTAGCATTAAGAGACCATGTTTATCATCACAGACTTAATCTAAAGCTAACTGTCTTGGTCACATATTTTCCCCAAGACTCTTCTTGTAAAATTGTAAGTGTAGATTAACTGGAGAGTTAGATTTATTTAATTGTTTTTTAAAATCAGCATAGATGCCAAAAAGAACATTGGTGTAACAGGAAATGAGAAATAATGTGAGAATGATTTTGCTGATACATCATGAATCTTTAAGAATCTAAGATAAAAAAAATCAAGCAATGCCATGGATAGGGGATTCCTATGACAATGAAAAGGTAGTTGAATTAACTATTGGTCTTAGAGGGTTAGAGGAGTGGAAAAAATGTTGGAGTAGTGATGTTAAAGGTACCTGAATAGTGGGTTAAATAGTGAACAGTTTGAAATTGAGGTTTTGGAGAGGTGTATATTTAAATTAACTACTGAAGTGGGAGTAAAACTGAAAAAGAGATAAAAGATTTTAAATGTTAGATATGAAAATGATCACCCATATGGTAAAGTCGTCAGGAATTAAGACAAGTGTACTGTTGAATGAAAAGATAGTGGGACAAATGGAAAATAATAGATTAAAGTTACCTGAGAATTTGTTAAATGATAAAACAAGGAAAAGTAATAGGTGATATAATCTGATGATAGAAGATTAAAAGGAGAGTTATTTTATGAAGCTTGGGCAGGAAAATGACACAGAAGTGGCACAGAGGAAAAAACTCCAACAGCTATTGCACTTCTAGGTCTAGTAGGAGGAGGGAATGTGGGAAGGAAAACAGCACTTGACCTAGAAGGCTAAAAAAGCAGTATACTTTGAGATAGAGCAGGATTTTAGACAGGGCAAGAAGATAGGAATATTGTTCAGATGGGGGCAGAGAAAGACACAGAGGGTTTTGCTGAAGACATTGAATGTCAAAGAGTTGACATGCAATGGTGACATAACCCTGAGGCCTTTGTGATGCAAGATATAGGCAGTATCAAACTAGAAATGCCTTTATAAAAACGTTAGTGATTTGAGAAGCTCATTTTGGGACCTGAGTTTTAATTTATAGGTAAAACTCATTCTTTTACTTTCAAACTACTGTATATTTAATTTTATTTTTTGAAAAGTAACATGGACTCACTGAAAACAGCACAAAAAATCACACTAATATTTTTGAACTAATATTTTATAATTTGCATTGCAGAATAAAATCTTTTCTAAATTTTCATTCTAATTTTGAGGTCATGTGCATTCACCTTTGTCTTATAAATCAACAGTTTATATCATTCAGCTATTTCCATGGAACATTAATTTTATTTTCTTATTCACTTTTACAATTTTATATTTGGGCCGGGGATTTAGCTCAGTGGTTCTGGCGCCTGTCTCACAAGCGCAAGGTCTCAAGGTCAATCCTTGGCACCAAAAAAAAAAAAAAAAAAGAACTGATAATTAATGTTCACTTTTTGTAGATAAAATGTGTTGAATTCTGGAAATCTCCTATAGATCAACTCAATATACATAAGCATTAGCTGGTAGCTAGCTCAAAGTCCATATGGTTATATTATGCTATTTTTTAATATTTTCAAAGATAAGAGTGGCTCTTAAAAAGCAATACTGAAAGGTATAACTACTAATGACTCCAAAAATGCTGTTGTTGACATTATTTTCAACATAAAGGATCTTATAAAAAACGAATCCATTATACATTTTTTGATTAGACAAGTCTTCTTGTCAGAAAAATATAATGCTCTAACTTTTGTTACACATAAAATTAAGTATATGAACATTTTTGTAGTATACCACAATCTTACTATATTGTATTCTGCTTTACATTTCAAAGTAGCTTTATATACATTAATTGCTTTCATAATTTTTAAAAGAAGATATTGTTATAAAAATACTGAGATTCAAAAAGATAATAGTCAAGAGAATATGGTAGTATATTGTAAAAGAACACGAACTGACTGAAATTCAAAGAAAAACACCCAATATATGATGGACATTTTATATATTTAAAATAAAATTTTGATCTATAAAGTTATCATGAACCAACATTCTTTATATTAAAATATATAAATATATAACTAAATAGAGCTGGTAGTCATTAGAAATACTAAAAAGTATTATAAAGAGGACTTACAGCAGTGGAAGAGACATTTCCTCTGCTTATATGTTGCCAGAACTTCAGCATTATATGTCCACACTGGTGATGTTGAGGTATGATGTCATAAAGAGATTGTGAAGTACAAAATTTAAAGGGCAACACAGAGCAGTTACATTTTAATGCGGATGTGTTTACATATGTTTTAAAATCTTGTTCTGAGAGATTCAGTCAATTATTTATTGACTTTACCTGATAATAGTAATTATTTATTTTATGTCATCCTATTTTACATTAGTTTTTAGTGTGTATGTGTGTACACAGGTATGTGTACATGTATGCGCTTTGATGAATGTGAAAATTATATGAGATATAAGGAAAATAGAATACTATAAATATCTCCCTTACAAAGAGCAGCTTTAATCCAGTACATTTTCTTCACATTCAGGCTTTTTCCCTAAAATATTGCATATGCTTTTAGTAATATTTTTCCAAAATAATTTGAATGTGTCAGATTCTTTGATATGTAAATTTAACAAAGCAAAAAAGTCTATTAAACTAATATTTAGATTTATCATATAG